ACATTTTGGTATAAATCCAATTAGGCTTTTACTCAATGTGATCAGACAGAGGTGTTAGTGGCTTGACGGTGAATGAGCTGAGAGAGAAAGGGTCAATGTCTGTAATCATATAGTCTACTGTGCTGTGGCCAAGAGGTGAGCAATAGGTGAATCTCCCCAGAGTCCCCCCGTAACCTACCATTGAGAAAGTACAAACCCAGGCTTCGATAGAGCTGCAACATATCCCTTCCGTTTTTGTTGATGGTGCTGTCACTGTTGTTTCTATGGGGGAGATTAAGACAGTTAGAAACAGTATGGCCTGTAATAAAGCTGTCCCTTTGTGTGGTCGTTAGATCAGGTAGTGTTCCTGTGCGCGCATTTGTGTCCCTGGGCCTGGAAATGGCACGTCTCTTCCTCAAGGGTAGGGATATATATTGCGCAAAGGAACAAACATCTTTCTGTCAGTACAAGTTCTTTTTTCAGTTTAAACCAAATGTGGTATTTACCAATTTTGAGGGGATCAATTACATTTTGTAGATGGATTTGTACCAAATGATCAATCCTCCAGAGTCTCTGCCTCTATTGACAGAGCTGTGTTTCTGTGACGGCACAATTACCTCTCTGTAGCCTGTGGGACAGTGAGTGTCAATGTCTGCCTTACACCATGTCTCTTGCAGAATGATGACGTCAACATCTTTTGAAGATTTTTTTTTAAAACTCCAGTGCTAAACTCTTCAGTCCAAAGGTTGATGAGTTTAGGCCCTGAATGTTCCACATGGTAACTGACAGTGATTTCATGTTGCAAAAAGAAAGAACAGCACTGTCAAAAATACAGTAACTACTAAGTTGTTAAGAGTGAGAAACAGGATAACAGCAAACATTTGTTCTGTTTATATATAATATATATATATACACACAGTACCAGTCAAGTTTGGACACACCTACTCATTCAAGGTTTTTCTTTATTTTTACTATTTTTTACATTGTAGAATAATAGTGAAGACATCAAAACTATGAAATAACACATATGGAATCATGCAAATAGCCACCCTTCGCCTTGATGACAGCTTTGCACACTCTTGGCATTCTCTCAACCAGCTTCATGAGGTAGTCACCTGGAATGCATTTCAATTAAAAGGTGTGCCTTCTTAAAAGTTAATTTGTGGAATTTCTTTCCTTATTAATGCGTTTGAGACAATCAGTTGTGTTGTGACAAGGTAGGAGGGGTATACAGAAGATAGCCCTATTTGGTAAAAGACCAAGTCCATATTATGGCAAGAACAGCTCAAATAAGCAAAGAGAAACGACAGTCCATCATTACTTTAAGAGATGAAGGTCAGTCAATACGGAACATTTCAAGAACTTTGAAGGTTTCTTCAAGTGCAGTCGCAAAAACCATCAAGCACTATGATGAAACTGGCTCTCATGAGGACCGCCACAGGAATGGAAGACCCAGAGTTACCTCTGCTGCAGAGGATAAGTTCATTTGAGTTACCAGCCTCAGAAATTGCAGCCCAAATAAATGCTTCACAGAGTTAAAGTCACAGACACATCTCAACATCAACTGTTCAGAGGGGACTGTGTGAATCAGGCCTTCATGGTCGAATTGCTGCAAAGAAACCACTACTATAGGACACCAATAAGAAGAAGAGACCTGCTTGGGCCAAGAAACACGAGCAATGGACATTAGACCGTTGGAAATGTGTACTTTGGTCTGGAGTCCAAATTGCAGATTTTTGCATTTCCCACCGTAAAGCATGGAGGAGGTGGTGTTATGGTGTGGGGGTGCTTTGCTGGTGACACTGTCTGTGATTAATTTAGAATTCAAGGCACACTTAACCAGCATGTCTACCACAGCATTCTGCAGCGATACGCCATCCCATCTAGTTTGGGGTTAGTGGGACTATCATTTGTTTTTCAACAGGACAATGACCCAGCACACCTCCAGGCTGTGTAAGGGCTATTTTACCAAGAAGGAGAGTGATGGAGTGCTGCATCAGATGACCTGGCCTCCACAATCCCCCGACCTCAACCCAATTGAGATGGTTTGGGATGAGTCGGACGGCAGAGTGAAGGAAAAGCAGCCAACAAGTGCTCAGCATATGTGGGAACTCCTTCAAGACTGATGGAAAAGCATTCCAGGTGAAGCTGGTTGAGAGAATGCCAAGATTGTGCAAAGCTGTCGTCAAGGCAAAGGGTGGCTATTTGAAGAATCTCAAATATAAAATATATTTTGGTTTGTTTAACACTTTTTTGGTTACGACATTATTCCATATGTGTTATTTCATAGTTTTGATGTCTTCACTATTATTCTACAATGGAGAAAATTCTAAAAATAAAGAAAAACCCTTGAATGAGTGCGTGTCCAAACTTTTGACTGGTACTGTGTGTGTGTATATATATATTCCTATTCATTGAACAAGTAAACTTTTTTAGTACAATGTGTGCGTGTGCGAATTTAGTGCAGATGTATTGGAGGAGCTGTTTAATCTCACTCAATCCTACAGGGTCCTCCTGTCCTCTGAGGACCTCCGCGTAGCTGCGCTGGTCCTGCTGCTGGGCCCTGTGGAGTGGAGGGAGGCCAGGTCTGGGCCGGGGGGCTTCCTCTCTGATAATTGATTTGTGTTTGAGAGAGGTTGTAGAGGGCAGATCGGTCATGTTGTTTTCTGGGCCTGTCGAATAGTAAAGTTATATAATTATCGGTATAGCTCTCTTTCGCTCTCTGCTTTTCACGTCTGCAGCATTTGTAAGCTCACAGGGACAGAATGTCTTATTCTCTGCCTTATTCTGCCGTCTGTCATTCATCAAAGCATGGTACACAATACATAAAGGTCAAATAGAATGGGTAACGTCAAATAGAAAGGTATTCCTAGAGAACTGTCTTGAGACAGAATGGGTTCAAACTGAGTCTGACATAAAAACATGACAGTTAATCTGAGTGAGCAGAGGGATGAGGTGTTTCTCTCTCGCTCTCTCTCTCTCCATTCTTTTTCTAAGTCATGAATGTCAAGTGCTATCTATTCTCCTGAGCAGCAGCAGGCCACTCAGAGCTCAACACTAATTGTTCTCCAATCTGCCACTACAGCTCTGCTCAACACTACTGAATATCCTCCACAGCCAACACTATCTGAGTGTTTATGAATGGCTCACATAGGGGAGCTTGAGGGATTTATGTGTGTGTGTGTGTCCTGTCTCCTTCCAGCATGTGTGAATGCATTAACCAACTCTTAGTTCTTAACCAGGGCAGCCCAAAACTCCTAATTACCTAGCATAGCTAGCACTGAACAACCTACCGCTGTCTTTCTGAACTTCCTTCTTTTAAGTTCTTACACCGCTTCTAAAAGGGTGAGATGGGTTCGCCCCTCTGCTGGAACACGTGGGTGATTTGTTCCACTTCAACTGAAGGAGCAGAACAGCAATATGTTCTTTTTGTTTTTAAAAACATTACAGTTTTTCCCCACTGTGCTGCTGATTTGTAGAATTCGGTATCCTGTAGAGATGAAGGTGAGGTAATATGCAGGGAGAGTTCGGGTTGGATAGGAGAGAAAGAGGAGAGAGGGTTGGAGATTGCTTTGTAAGCTCAAATGTTTTGTTCTTGGGAAGTCGTACTCTGCTCTCCTGTTTTCAATTGTGTTTGTGACTGGTTTTCCAGATTGGCTTTACTTTTCTGTTGACGTTGTCCTTTGTTCATTAAACACAAGCGTACTTCAGCATATTCAGGCGTTGTATAGGAGAGGAATAAAGATCTAACCTACAGCAAGTTAAACCAGAGTGCTGAGAGTGCTACCTCATTTGTCCTCTGTGTGCTTGCGTGCGGGTTCCTTCACCTGTATGTGTGTGTGTGTGTGTGTGTGTGTGTGTGTGTGTTTGTGCGCGCTCTTTCACCTGTGTGTGCTGCGGGCCGTGCGTGCATTATCATAATGATTGGCACAGTGGGCCAATGGTGGTAAACCCCTGCTCCCTCTCTGAGGACATGAGAGCACCTCTAGAAGGATGGTGGGATGAACTCTTGCGCTCTGTCCTCTCTGGCCCTCTCTCTCCTCCCCTCGGCCCCCTCTTCCTCCCCTGCCTCGAGGACTAATTGAAAGTAAGGCGTGTGGCCTGCATCACATTAACATAATTCAGAAATAATTGCTTTTGAACCTTAAGAATGTTATGTTGTTCCCCCTCTCTCCCCTTCTCTCTCCTCCTCTCCCTGGGTCTCCTAAGACAGGCCTTGACGTCTGGCTAAGGCCCAGGAACAGAGAGGAGAGCTTAACATCTTCCTCTCTTCACCACATAGTTTCTGTCTTGTTTGTAGTCCGTCTGGTTGCTGGCCTTTGCGACGTGTGTGTGTGTGTGTGTGTGTGTGTGTGTGGGCCAGCCATGAGTAGATGAGTGTGTTATCTGCTCCAGTGAAGAGCCACAGCACAGTGCTTGTATAGACCGATGATTTCATCTCCCGGCAGAGCTGTAGAAGGGCAGAGCGCAGTGAAACCTTCCATCCATATATCCTTACCTTCTGTCCTCTTCCTCCTCCTTCACCCCCTCCTTTTCCTCCTGCTCCACTGTCCTCCTCCTCCTCCCCTCTCTCTCTCCCGCCATCCTCCTCCTCCTCCTCTCCAGTATACCAGCTGACTCATTAGGCTGGCCTTATGCTCCTATGTCCAGAAGGACTATAGAGGCCATTACTCAGCCCTGCTGCCTGGGCACATAGGGTCACACACAGACACAGCACCAGTGTCACTATAGACGTCTACACAAGATGGATGCCGCTCTTATTCACTCATAGATCACCTCCTATCAACACACAATTCCCCTAAATAACCGCTCTCCTCTCGTGCTCTCGCTCTCTCTCTCTCTCTCTCGCTCTCTCATTCTCTCAATCTATCTATGTCTTCTCTCTCACACACACACACACACACACACACACACACACACATCTGATCTCTGTAGAATAGGTGAGTGTAGTGGATACATAGACTTCCCATCAATAACCCTCCCCCCCCCCCAGGTCCTACCCAGAGCACCAGCAGGAGGAGATGTTGGGGTCACCAGTGAGGGGGCCTGGGGAGGAGGGGCGTGTCCTGCCCTCTATGTGTCTGAAGCAGGTGTTCCCTAAGTACACCAAGCAATTCAGCTACCTGCGGACCGTGGAGCGCATCACTGCCCTCTTCCTGCGCTTCCTTGGGGTCAAGGGCAACATGCGCCTGGGGCCCACTGGCTTCAGAACCTTCATCAGGTACTAGTTCAGAGTCAGAGAGCTTACATTGGTATGCGCGTGTGTGTATCTGTCTTTTAAGTGTGCTTATTGTCAATTCGTTCCTTAGCATGGTGCTTTTTAATAAGTAACCTATTTTGTCAGTTGTATCAAGCAATTCAGCTTCTTGGCTGCCAATGGTGCGTTGTGCTTTTTTATAGTCAATGAAACCATAGGCTACATAAAACCATTATATCCATCTGTCTGTGTGTAGGAACTGTAAACTGAGCAACAGTCACTTCTCCATGGCGACTGTGGATATCCTCTACATTGACATCACACGACGCTGGGCCGGCATGCTGCCTGACTCCAGAGAAGCAGGTAATCCTCCAGCCAGTCACCTCTCACACAGTCCACCAATCACTAGTCACCTCTCACACAGCCCACCAATCACCAGTCACCTTTCACACAGCCCACCAGTAACAACAAAACCATAATTGTGTTAGCCCGCTGAACTAAATATTAAGCATTCGTTCGGTGAGCTAATGCTAGTCTTCAGGTCTCCGGCAGAACTAGCTGTGACCTTTAGAATTGGCCAGGTTTTATTTTTGACTCTAACTGTTCATGGAATCCCCTCTCACATCATTGAAATGAGCTCACAGCGTAGAGTGACAACATTTGTGAGAGTATCCACTATGAATAATTCACCAGCTTCCACCTGAAAATATGCAGAGGGGGCAGGAGGATGAGGAAGAGGAAGCAGCGGGAGGAAGAGAGGGGTGCAGCGGGTACGATTGATTGAATGCTGTTCCAGGGTTTCCTCTTGTGGGGCTCGGCTGGCATGGAGGGACTGTTTTTAGCGGTGCGCAACTCGAGGAGTTGTGAGCTGAATATTTGGTTCCAGCCCAAAATCGGGGTGAGAATTTGGTCATTACCCCTATGGGTAATAGGAAAACAGAGCCAATCTCTCTCTGATGATTGGGTCGCAGTGTTGGGGAGGGTGGAGTGTAGGTATGGGTAGGGATAAGGCAAGTATTTTATTATTAATAATAAAGGTTTGTGTTTTGGGAAGAGAAGCGCTGACTCAGGACTTTAGCTGAATGCTAAAAGCCCCTTATCACCTCAGAAGAAAGTCTCTCTCTCTCTCTCTCTCTCTCTCTCTCTCTCTCTCTCTCTCTCTCTCTCTCTCTCTCTTACTTTGTGACTTTATAGGAAAATAACTCTCTCCCTCCCTTTAATCCTTGTTTTTCACTTTCTTCACGCGTTTCACCCCCTCATCCTAATGTTTTATTGAGAACCACAGCAAAGTTTGATGAAACTTGGTGTAAATAGCAGAGTAAAAGCTAGAATAAATGGTGTGCAAAGTGCAAGTACTGTATATTAAAGAGATGTGGTGTACCTATCTGGATGGTGTGTGTCTGGGTGGGTGCTGGTTGTTTAAGTTTAGGACATTCATCGCTCCTGTGTGTATTGGTTAGGTTGATTTAGGTTGATTTATGAGTTTGACATCTTGATGTGGAAACCTAGAGAGTAGTCTATGAACTGACTACTCTTTAACAAGTTCCACTGAAATATGTACAAAAAACGTTTACTTAAAGAGCAGTGCAGATGCAAAGTTTGGTAACAGAATGACGGTTTGTGCTGTATGTTCTGTCATTCTGTTACCAAACTTTGAAAATGTTCACTGGACTTTGTTAAAAGTAGTCCTTGTGCATAGAGTTATGTGGTTTGTTTAACTTTGCAATCATTGCTTTTTGTTTGACATACATTTTAAAGTGAAAATCTGAGTCGCAGCATAGTTCTGTTACCGTGGAATTGCCCTGTGGTTTGTTATTACACTGAACAAAAATATAAACGCAACATGTTAAGTGTTGGTCCCATGTTACACGAGCTGAAATAAAAGATCCTTGAAATGTTCCATACGCACAAAAAGCTAATTTCTCTTGAATTTTGCGCACAAATTTGTTTACATCACTGTTAGTGAGCATTTCTCTTTTGCCAAGATAATCCATCCACCTGACAGGTGTGGCATATCAAAAAGCTGATTAAACAGCATGATCATTACACAGGTGCACCTTGTGCTGGGGACAATAAAAGGCCACTCTAAAATGTGCAGTTTTGTCACACAACAGAATGCCACAGATGTCTAAAGTTTTGAGGGAGCGTGCAATTGGCATGCTGACTGCAGGAATGTCCACCAGAGCCGTTGCCAGAGAACTGAATGTTCATTTATCTGCTATAAGCCGCCTCCAACGTTGTTTTAGAGAATTTGGCAGTATGTTCAACCGGCCTCACAACCGCAGACCACGTGTATGGCGTCGTGTGGGTGAGCGGCGGTTTGATGATGTCAACGTTGTGAACAGAGTGCCCCATGGTGGTGGTGGGGTTATGGTATAGGCAGGCATAAGCTACGGACAACGAACACAATTACATTTTATCGATGGCAATTTGAATGCACAGAGATACCGTGACGAGATCCTGAGGCCCATTGTCGTGCCATTCATCCACCGCCATCACCTCCTGTTTCAGAATGATAATGCACGGCCCCATGTCACAAGGATCTGTACACAATTCCTGGAAGCTGAAAATTGCCCAATTCTTCCATGGCCTGCATACTCACCAGACATGTTTGACATAATCTGGATCGACGTGTACGACAGTATGTTCCAGTTCCCGCCAATATACAGCAACTTCGCATTGCCATTGAAGAGGAGTGGGACAACATTCCACAGGCCTGTTCAACTCTATGCGAAGGAGATGTGTCGTGCTGCATGAGGCAAATGGTCACACCAGATACTGACTGGTTTTCTGATCCACGCCCCTACATTTTTTTAAAGGTATCTGTGACGAACAGATGCATATCTGTATTCCCAGTCATGTGAAATCCATAGATTAGGGCCTAATGAATTTATTTCAATTGAATGATTTCCTTATATAGAAATCGTTTTATATTTTTGTATAGTTAATCAAGGATCAGTGAGAATCATTTTGATTCATGGCAAATACTCTCTCTCTCTTCCACCTCCCTGTTTCCTCCCTTTCCTGCTCTCCGCTCACCCTTCCCCCTCTCTCTTTCTCCCTCTCCACCACATCTCTTCTATTCGTCTCCTCCTCTCAGGGATGGGTCTGCAGGCATTTGTGGAGGCCTTCTTCTACCTGGCCCAGCGCAGGTTTAAGTCTCTTCCCCTGAGGGAGCAGGTGGTGTCCCTGCTGGAGGTGTGTGAGGCTCAGCTGGACAACCAGGGAAAAGGGGATCTTGGAGGAGCTCTACCCGAGGACAGCACCTCTTCCACCAGGCGCTCTGTAAGCTGCAGCAGGACCCAGCCAGGCAGGTCTCACCACCCCCACCATACGTCGACCTCCACCCCAGGCCAGGCCCTGTCGGCCCCCCAGCTCTGCTCCCCGGCCACCCCGCGCAGGGCCTCGTCCCAAGATTACAGGCTGCATCAGAGACTACGGCCCACACACAAGGGCAATGTAGAGAACTGACCTGACTAGAGGCTAAGGAGCTATACTCCTACACACACTCCTAACAGAGGAACACAAAGACTGGCTCAAATTCCCCCAGGGGGTCCTGTCGAGAGAAGAGACACAGATTGTTGGGAGCTGACCTCAGAGGCTCACCTCCATGAGGCCTGTTCTGTAATTCATAAATTTTCCTTAAGAAGAGGAGGGAGTCCACAGGGGGGTTGAGGAAGTGGGAGAACAAGGGATGGAGGTATGGAGGGAGTGTATTTCCTCCGGTTGGAGTGTGTGTGTGTGTGTGTGTGTGTCAAGACAGGCCACTCAGGTCCAGAGGGGGAGATGGATGGTTGTAAGGCCCTGCTTGAGATGCACTTATTGATTTAATAACTTCAGGGTAGGTTGTGTCTCGTTTAAGCCCTGTCGAGCAACCCACTGGGCAATCACACACACACACACACACAAACACACACACACACACACGCTCTCTCTTCAGGGAAATCTGTACACATACTGCAGTTTTACACACAGTGTATGTTGCGTGTATGGATCTGAGCATTTGCACGATAGCTTTAGAACCTATAACATTTGCACAGATGTGAGTGTATGTGCACGTGTGTGTGTGTGTGCGCGTTTGCATGCATGTGTGTGTTTGTGTATTTGAGATAACGGCCATATAATGGCCAGTGGTACTGCCATTCGGCTGTTCCTGCTCACAGAACCAATCAGTGATGAGATGTCTCATCATTGTACCAAAGGGAAAAAGCCATCCTCCCAGACAGTTCTGCCCAATCACAAATCATCCCTTAGCCCAACAGTACCCCCTATGCACTGAAGGAGATCTGAGAAGATTGGATGGTATATAAGCAATATGGAAACAAACTCCACCCAGCCTATCTGAAGACAAAAGTGAAGTAAATAGTTAGTAATTCATTAATAGCCAATACCTATCATATCCTCTCAGATCTCCACAAGTGCGTAGGTTGTAGGGGCTATGGTTTGATTTAGGACTGGGCATTTCATAACAGCAGCTACTCCAATGACATAGCAGCCTTAGACAAACAGCAGTGAGAGAGAGAGAGATGGTTACTCAAAATGGCTGCCACATACCCAATATGAGCACATCTCCTTTGCTTTGACACCCTATACCCTTCATAGTACACTACATGGGGAATAGGGAGTTATTTGAGACAGAACCAGGGCTGTACCAGGAGAATTCTGTCATTCAACACTGCTTGTTTACAAATACTGTGTCATCCGTATCCATAGGAATGTTTTAATTGTATTTGATTTTGTTGTTCATTTTTCTCCACATAATTTATTCACGTCAGTGTCACCTATAGACAGTTGCTGCTTGCAGGAGAATGAAACTAAACACTAAAGCTATCATCTTGGTTCCTTCAGTACCATATGGGCTGTTGTTTGTTCACAAGACCATAACTACTGTAATGTATGTTCTTAATTAAGACTATAGACGTTTGCTCCATCATCTAATACTGTACTCCACCACAGCATCTGAGAATATAGATACTCAACCATAACCTCCATTGGGATGTACTGTAAGTCTGTTCATAGCACTGCAATACAGAATAAAGGACTGCATTTAAACCAGTTGAAAACAGTTTGTCTTGGTCTCTATGAATTAATACTTACATTTACATTTTAGTCATTTAGCAGACGCTCTTATCCAGAGCGACTTACAGTTAGTGAGTACATACATTTTTTTTTCACAATCTCCTAACTCCCAATAGGTTTTGAATGTGCAATGCATACACATATTTTCCTGTGCCAGTGTGGATGAAGGTGTGTGTGCATGCCTGTTTGTCATTGTGGTCTGGATGTGTGTGTTTGTGTGCTCTGTCCTTTCCCCCACCTGTGAGTGATGTTGTTTTGTCACAGCATCTGTCTGTGTGTGTGTGTGTGTAAGGCAGCCATACCCATCACTCTTGACCCAGGCTGATGGATTAGCAGGTGCTAAGTGGGGAATTCCGATATTGTGCTAAAATAAACTCCTTTCTTACTTCCCAATCTCTATGTACTTTTCTCTGAATTAAGTATTTCTGAACCTTCAAAATGGAACATCGCCTGTTTGATACCATTGTGGTCTAGTGTGTGTGTTGGTGTGCTATGAGAGATTGCTCTGTCCTTTCTTAATCTGTATGACACTAATAGTTAGCCATGAAATGTGAATAAGTTAACTACCATGATTTACTTACATTTACATTTTATTAGCAGGACTTTACGATATTACAGTGTAGTGATTACATTTCCTATCTCCTCGAGTTTAAGTCAATTACCATTTTAGTTATGCCGTTGATAGCGGTGTTGCCTGTCCAGTTAGTCCCTTGGTCCTAGTGTGTGCTCTTCCTCTTGTCACTCCAACCTGTGAGTGCTGTTGTATTTGGAAGAGTCGTGTAAACTGTCACGCATGCGGTTTGTGGTGGAGCATACGATCACTCTTGAGTAGGATTAGCTGGTTAAGTTGGGGAACCCTTATTGGCGTATGGCTTACTTCCATTTTATTGTACTTTTCCTGCAAGTCTATGGCCAATTTAGATGAAAATTGATTCATGTTTCTTTGTAGCTTAAATGATTTCGACTGTGTAACGCATTAATTGACTTTTCAACGCCCTAAGACAATGATGAACAGGTCGGTTCCAAGTGGAACAACATCTACTTTCTTTTTTCCCCCGATAGAAATAACACCATTCTCCATGCACTGTCATTTACGAATTGATAAGAGCTATTGATAATAGCTGGTAAATGAGTAAGCTTTTTGGATAAGGGGATTGTAAATATAAATGACAATTGTTTTAGATTTATTTCACCTTATGATCGCTGAAGACAAATGTGAAACCGTAATATGGCAGCAAACCGAAGCATATCAACATATCACTTTTTCCACAGTGACTTTTATGAAATGCTGGCCTTATAGGCCTAACCTTGCAGGGATTACATTTGGAGACCCAAGCTATATGCTTCTGTAGCCATGCGCAAATGAATGACAGTATAGTGACAAACCTACCGAGTTGATTTGATTTATGATTTCTAGAATGTTTTAATTATATGCCCGGACTTTTCACTGCATTTGTTTTACAATTTGTATCATGTTAAATGTTAGCCACTATCGGTAGCCACTGTCAGTTATACCCACATAGCCTACATTTATAACTGTCATTTTAATGTTAATTTCCTTACATTTAGCGTCATTCCATTCCATTGTTATTTTACCTCTATTTCCTCTTTCACATTCATGTGGTTAGGCTAACGTATTACAAGTTGTGTAATAATGTAGCCTGTTTGAATTATTATGGAACACTCGTTTAAACCTGGAGCCTGGCACGGTTCATGACGGTTCACGACGACTGGACCGTTGTCATCACAGTTCCATAATTAGTGAGAATTATTAGTTGATTTATAGTACTACTGTTCAACCCCTATTGTACACTTTTCTCACCTTCCAATATTTAATTGATTGAACATTATTGAATATGGCAATTTTCTGGATGAATCAAACAACAATTTTTTTATTCGCCAATATATTTTGTGCATAAAAGCTCTCCAAAACATTTGTTTTATTCATAAATGTTTTCCTATCCCTAAATAATATACATTTTTTAATCTGCTGAAAAGGAGACTAATATGCATGTATTTACATGGATTTCTTTAATTGATCCCTAATATTCTGAATGGTTCTCTCCATATTCTTGTGAGTCTGTCGAAAATTCTAATTAAAGGTACACCAAATATAAAGGAATTGCTTTAGATAAATGTACTGAAAATCCTATTGAATGAAAACTCAGCAAGAAAATCTGTTGACAAGCAAGTTTTCAGTGGTTTAATTAAATGTATTCAGCACACTCAAGGGAACCACGACTGCAAAGCCTGTTAAGCACCTACATAAGGTAAGTCTGAATACCAACTACTGAGCAGCGTGTATGAAAGGCATACATTTCCTAAGTCTGAATCGGGCCTTAAGTGAGCCTCACGAGAGCAATTAAAGACATCTCTGTGAAATAAGCATGACGAGGAGGCATTATTAATGAGGTCCGTTCCCTACCCACTGACTTCTCCCTCCCCGCTAGCTCCCTGCTCCCTGCTGCTGGGCCTGAGTCAATGGAAATGCATACATGAATTAAATCAATTCAAAACCAACAGCCTTGGAAGTGTATGTGGACAGACAAGGCGTTATATGTTATAGGATGATGGTAATGCTCTGTTTTGCATCATTCTGGGCTGCCTGTGTCTAATCTGTGGTCCACAGCAGTGACTTGTGGTGAGGTCAATGGCTGAGTAGGCACTGGTTATGATCAAAACCAGATTTAAGGCTCTATTCAATCTGTATTGCAGAAGTGTTACAGATTGCACAATATAAATGTAAAGGTAATTTCCGATTAAGCCGACATACTGTATGCAGCTTTTACCGTGAATGCAGTCTCCGCTAACGTGGAAACATTACCTTTAAATTTCAATCCCTCTGTAACACTGAACTTCCGCGATACGCATTGAATCGAGCCCTTAGTCACAAATAAACATTGATAAGGCCCAAGTTCACTATACAACAGATAGCGCTAACAACCAGAGTGACATAGGCTATTAACCGAAATTGACAAAAATGTTCACCAAATGTAAATACCAATGTAGCCAAGATAAAAATAAATAAAAAAGAGCCTCCAATGGCAGCATATTTCATATCATCTGACAAAATGACAAACTGCTCAACTGAGCTCAGCCATAGACCGATGTAGCATCCACAGTTACAACCAATAGGTGGCACTAAAAGAGCAATATATGGACACATTTTATCTGAATAGTTTGCAATGCAAACGCCATAGCCTTCCACAATGGATTTACAATTCTTCCAATGCACCGCCGGGACACGCACGCACGCACGCACGCACATAATGATATGATTATGTGAAATATTATTACACACAAATATATAATAAATAAGGTTCTAACGGAATTTCCATATCAACAATCGAAATGACTGAAAAATGCAGTTCAAAATGTCAGTGTCTCATAAA